ATTCTAAGTTGTGAATGTAAAGTGCAATTCTTGTCTAGAGCTGATAAAGATCTTTTTGCATAGTGAAGAGTTGTCAGAGGATTGTCGAATGCTGGTTCACTATTTTTCACCGAATTGTAATCTCTTCAGATCAAAGTGTGCATGTTTACAGCTGACTGCCAAAGCATACCATGAAAACGCAGAGATGGCAAAAGATGCCAAGACACTTGGATACAAATACAAAAGGCTTCGTTCACCTCTCCCCACTGGGTGAGTTGGGAAATGTGATAACTTTGTGGTGTAAAGGTATACTATATGGAATAGGATTTAGTATTTGCTCAAATGTTTAAGCAGAGCTCGTCTTCTGATTTTATTTATTATTTAAATACATTTGTAATATTTATGAAATTCATAATTGCAACTTTATATATTTTATTCACTGACCGGTGTAATTCAGAGAACTGACAGCTCCCCTCTCCTCTTGTATAATTATTTTTAAAAATTTACCTTCACTCAGGTTTGCAACTCTCCCCTATACAGATTTTTGTAACACTGCGTGGGCATTCTAACCATGGTATACTAAATGCACTTTTATAAAATGGCATTTTTACCTACAGACCACTGAACTAAGACAGACTTGATTCATAATCTGTTTTGACTTTAATCCATCAAATGCAATGTGTTGGTATCCTGGGATCAAGATTAGGAAACTGGGTAAATTTAGAGAAGCAATCACAGTGATAGGGCAATCTCTGGGTGCCACTCGTGGGTTTATAAAGAAAATGTGGCATTGTATGTGAAATGACCACAAGACCTAGAGCATAGATTACTGTAACACCACCACAATTCCACATTTCAGTCATCCGTTATGCTTTGAAATAGTTATACTGTCCTGTTACACTTTTTTTCTTTTTTTTTTCTGTTGCTGGTGCCCAATTGCGTTCATTTCCACTCTGCAAAGTCTCCTACCTACAGTATAATTTGGTAATGCTATCCTGTGTTATTAATAGGACACACATCTTCACAGCATTCCTGATTGTTCTACAAAGTTCTAGAGTGACCTGAGCAGTGAGCACTAAACAGATATTTGGAATCTCCGTAGTTTACCTGTGTGAGTGCACCCTGCTCTTACGCTGTCCCTATTTTGACCGCTTTGACAAACACAGAGGGAAATGGCAAGTAGCATACACGTCACCTTTTTTACTGTGACTTTTCTCTTTCACAAGGCCACATAGACAGTGTCTACAGAAGTATGATTAGGTTTTTGATCCTGTCTGAACAGTTCTCGAGTTTCAAAACTGCATTTCTTGGAGGGACAATCCTGCCCTTATTTACTGGACTTACCCAATGTACCTCTTATCTATGGAGCTCTATTCTGTGTGCTTATTTTCAGTGTACAGAGGCTTACTATTTTACAAATACCAAAACTCTGGATTTCTACTCACCTTCCATGTTCTTTTGTATCACCTGTCTCCTTTCATTTTAGATTTCCAGGGCTCTTAAAACCCAACCATATTGGGTTTCTGGTTTTTATCTTTCCATTGTTTTGTGTATTTTTGTTACCACTATACAGATTATTGTGGTGGCGTTAGTGGTGATGAATTTGAAAAATGTTAAATAAAATATTCACATATTTCATTCTCAAAATCTAAATTTTACTTTAAAATGTGTCAACCTCAGAGAACCTCTTAATTTTCACAAGAATGATTAATCCTATGTTGTGTGTGTATATACTACTGTGTTTCCCCCAAAATAAGACATTCCCCCCTCCCCTCCGAAAATATGCCCTAGCTTATTTTTGGGGGATGCTCGCTCCTGATATAAGCCCTACTCCGAAAATAAGCCCTAGTCGTTTGCTAATCTATGTTCGGGGAATTCCATTCGCGAGTAAGCTTATCTATGTTCAGGGAGGTTGTCCCGAACATAGATTTGCAGGATTCCGTGCCCTAGTGAACTGGTCTATGTTCGGGGGAATTCCCCCGAACATAGACTTGCTTTCTAGCACGTTTTTACTTGAAATAAGACTTTCCCCGAAAATAAGCCCTAGTGCATTTTTCGGGGGACAAATTAATATAAGACCTGGTCTTATTTTTGGGGGAAAGACGATAGGCATAACCATGATCCTGTGTTAACTTTACAAGTGACATTTTTAAATTCTAGATTCTGAGTTTGTCATCGTAACTGTTAAATGTAAAACACATCACATTGGATGACTAGTGCAGTTCGTATTTTGTTGATTATTCCCCATCCCCTTTTATCTATTCAAATTTCATTGCGAACCTGTGGTGTATACGCTCCTAACTTACAAACCCTAGGACCCGAATGCTGGACAGAACTCCTTCCTCTACACTCCCCCACAATGAAGTCACCTCGACTCTAAATATTTCTTTATTTTTATTAAGTCTATAGATAAGCAAGTAAATCTCACCTAAAATATTGTTGTTGCAGATTGTATGAATGTAATTTAACATGCAAGTGTGACCCGAAGATGTGTCAGAATAGAGTTGTCCAGCATGGCATCCAAGTAAGACTTCAGGTTTTCAAGACAAAAAGTAAAGGCTGGGGTGTTCGCTGCTTGGATGACGTAGACAGTGGGACATTTGTGTGCACCTATGCAGGTAAATAGAAAGAAAGAAAAATGTGCACATAAACAATGTTCTTTATTACATACTATTATGGAAATGGTGAATCACAGGTGAACATACATACTCGGACAAACTTTGTATCCTCTATTACATGCTGACCAATAGAAACGGTAAGTTTATGGAAAAATTTTACATTGACTGTAGAGATTGCCCTTTCTGATACAGAGCTATATGTGTGGATATAAATGTACTTGCTCTGCCTAGAGTGATATCTTTTTAATGGCACTTGTCTGAGCCACTGTAGAAGGAGTCTCCCATTTTAACCCATTCACAAAAAATGTTTACTACACCCTGTATTTTATACAGGTAGTGTGACTATAACTTCTAGCCAGAAACTTAATGAAACTAAAAAGGCTAGTTTAAAGGGACACTATCGTAAGTAATCTGGGTGCCTTCCCTCTCCCTTCCCCACATAATTTAGCCCCCGTGGTGTAAAAGATTGCAGTTCTGCTCGAACAGCAATGTTTATATTGAAGGGTTTAATGCCTCTAGTGGCTGTCAGCATGAGGTGCTTATAACAAAATAGCCAAGTAAAATTTGGCTATTCAAATCACATTTGTATTGCTAATGCTATAGTGTTCCTTTAAGCGAGCTTCTGATCTACAGGAAACAACACTTATATAATTAGTACAAAAGATTGGTCTGATTCGCAAGGGCAGTTCGTAACTAAAAGTGAAAGATATGTCCTCTCTGCCTAGTCTCTTTAGCAAATACTACTGTCATCTCAGCATAGGGAAAATAGAGCCCTGCTTCAATTCTAAAATTTGAATGTCATATCTTTTTCTTGTAAGGTCAGAACGTAAATATACAGCTTGTTTTCATTCTGAGATATTTTCCAGTAAATAGTATTTAATAATGAAATGTGTGGTCCTTTGCAGGTAGAATATTTGTCCGGTCATTTGACACAGACTCCAACAAAATGGCAATAGGTAGCACATTCGATAATGATGAAGGAAACCAAGCAACTGCTGCCTCTTCAATACCTGTAAATCGGAAAAGACATGTTTCTCATTCTGACTCTGAGATCATTCTAATGCATTCAACTCCATGCACAAATCCAAAATCATTTAGTTCTAGTCAGACCGAAATTAAACGGTAAGTATTGCCTGGTACTTCTGTTTTACATTACATTACACTGAGGACCCATTGCTATGAATAAAAACGGATGATAATTCACAAGACAAAAATAACCTTGACTCTTCATAAATTATTGTTAAGACCACCACCTTAAAGAGGCTGTACAGTTTTGGGTACCTACAAAAGTCACTGTGCAAAAGTGATATTTAGTGAATAAATATACTCAAGTTAAAATTTAAGTGGAAACAAATAAATTTCTTGGCAAACAGCTACCACACTATAACAAACCAATACAGCAACTGCTAAAAAAAAAAAAAAAAAGTTTTTTTAGTGGAGCACTATGTATCATACAAGCGCAAAATAGTTTTTTTTTTAGTGTTATCACATTTGAAACCGTAAAAAAATTAAAAATAAAATCAGTACTTGTCTTGTTTATGCAAGCACATTCAAACAATTGGGTGTACCTTTTAAAAAAACAAATATTCTACTTATGCTGCACAAAATCTTTTAACGACATATTATACTATGTGTTTCTATCTTATGGGTCTGTTACATAAGACTATTTGAGCAAAGAACATACCATACATGAGGGGAGTGGTCGCCTCTATGGACCCACACACCTTTCATACCTGAGCTAAGTTACATAGCCCTGAAAAGTAATTGTTCCATTTTTCATTTTATTATGTGTTATAAAAAAGGTTTTTACACTATTGTGTGTGTGTGTGTGTGTATATATATATATTGTATTTTAAAGGTATATACACCGAATTGTATGAATATGCTTGCATAAACAAGTACTTTTTCTACAAAAGGTTTTAGATATGATAACAAAAATAAGTAAAAAAACAAAACAAAACTATTTTGCACTTATATGATCTAGCGCTCCACCATAGTCATTTTTGTGTAGTTTTGTGTACCGATTTTAAAGAAGTATGCTGTTGCAGAGGCAGACTTTAAAATTATTTGTAGGAATGTAAGATTTTAGTTGGTAGAAAAGGTTAAAAACTCGTTTACTTGCGTAAAACATGACTCAGAGGGGATATTATAACCTACAAGTGGTTCTTTGGTAATTTGTACATTAATAGTTGTCCAAAAGACAAGAACTCACCCATTTAATCTTCAAGAGAGGAGATTTCACCTAAAGGAAAGGGTTCTTTACAGTAAGAACAACAATCCTCTCCCTTCCAACTCCCCCCTGCCCCCTTTGAGATGACTCCCCCAAGGGGTATCTTTTATTGGCCTGCCCACCTCATATCATGTCATACAATGTCAAGAGTCTTGCATCAACTGGTCATTCAGATATGCTTGCACCACCTCCAGGAGCTCTGGCCACGCAGGTGACCCTAGTACAGTAAGTCCATTTTAGGGGAAGTGCTTCCCCGGACATGCAGGATCACACTAAGCTCATAACTACTTGGCTAAACAGGTGGCAGTTGCAACTATAATGTACCGCTCCCTCTCCTTGCACCACATGGAGACACTAGGTGACTCAGGTGGACAAAAGTCATTTTATTGGGCTTCATCATGGGCCATTCCAATACGTTGAAGCAAAAACTGTGAAAATTAGAAATCTGAGAACAGATAATAGCTTAGAGAAACTCTTGGTAAATCCCTGCTCAGGTCTCATATGTTTTTGCTCATTTCAGCTGTTTTATATGCCCCTAATTTCAGAAAAAAATGCATTCATTGCCTCAGTGGTTGCCTGCCTTGAAGGGACATTGATCAACAGGTTTGATCTTAACATCTCCCTTGCCTCACTGATGAATACTTCCAGGGGACTCTCTGCAATAACACAGGCTTTCCTGAACTCTATTTGGTAATCTTTTCGGTATATAGGTCTTGTGAATTGCTGGCACGTTCTGCGCTCAGGCAAGATGGACTTCTCACTCAACCCCCCCTTGGTCCATATAACCTATAATTGATTACTTGTTCTTAGCCCAGGATTATCTCCCAAACTCCACTCCACTGAGGTAGGTACCTCATCCTGATCAGACCACTTCCTAGTCTCCTTCCACATTAATTATCCCCTTTTTTAAACCCATTGAGAAGTACTGGAGGATAAATGACTCCCTTTTGCTGGACCAGGAGTTGACTACCACAGTTCTTCACGTACAGTGAGAAGAGTTTGAGGAAGGAGAGGCGGTAGAAGAGTTTTTCTGTAAACCATCTGGGAGGCACAGAAGTGCTTTATTACGGGGCATTTCATTTCCCTAGGGTCCAAATAGAAATATGAACAAACAGAACCATAACGGATCTCTCTAAATGGTTTCAGGACCTAGAGGTCAAACACATATGCTCCCCCACTGACTCGAATTACTGGATATTGGTGACTGCTCTCCTAGTTTCCAGATACAAGAGACCAGGAATTCAATTCCTACTACTCTTCCCTCTACAGATCTTCTCACATGATTGAGAAGGTTGATGCCTTCCAGGTGAAGTAGTCAAAGATCAGACTACTTTACAAGCCATTTGCATTGCACCCTCACACTGGAGACAATGGATTTCCAATTTCCCTGGAAGAACTACAGTTCGCCCTCAAGCTGACCCAGATGGCAATGCCCCCCTGACCAGACTATCTTACTTTAGAGTACTGAAAGACCTTTGGCGACTTCCTTCTCCACAAATAATTAGACTTCCTGAAAATTCTCTCTCACTAAGCTACTTTCCTGAGAGACTCTCTAATGGCCAACATAACTTTATTTTTTTCTCACAGGTGGATAGCTGACTTGTGCTCATGCATTTTGGCTCAAGTACAAATAAACAGGACTCTGTCCTCCCCATTACCTATGCTTAATGGAATAGACTGCCCCTTACCTCCTCTCATGTTTTTCCCTTCTTTAAACCTTTTCTTGATTTGATGTGCTTCATCAGAGTGAAAGTGTGTGGGGGATAGTTGTGGGGCATCTGACCCAACTATATCCCTCCTTAATATTCTTGCCAAATTCAGGGAATACTGTTCTCTAGGCGTTCTCAAATTAAATTTAATAAAAGTTTGAAATTTTGAATGTCACAATCCCATCCAGAGATAGCGATACTGAGAGACAATATTCTCTTTTAAATGATGCATGGACGACATACGATATTTGGACCTCTAGGCTCACCCCAAACCTTCCTGACTTTAGACATTAAAGTCTAATGCTCAGATTTAGCAAGAGTGAACTCTAGCCCTGCAGGTAAGAAGGGAGCACGGATATTAACTAAACAGTCCCCCCTAGCCCCACACAATACATACACAAAGCACCCTCACATACACACACAGCACCCTTATACATACATACATACACACACACACACAAAGCACCCTTACGCATACACACACACAGTGCCCTCACACACACACAAAGCACCCTTACGCATACACACACACAGCACCCGCACACACACACAGCACCCGCACACACACACAGCAGCGTACATGTACATACATACATACATACACGCAGCATGTGTGTTTGTGCTTTAGGGTGCACACCCTTATGCAATAAGCTGTGCACTCCTGTATCTTCTAGTTTGCTTACTAAATGCTGCTGCATGTTACCACAGTCTTACACCTACTCCCCCTGTAAAGTGGGGTAAGGAGAGAATCTGGCTGCCAGTTTTAAGTCGAGAAGGATTTTTATCAAAACAATTTATTGTAACCTTATGCTTGTGCACAAAGTACTTTTGGAATGGTCTCAATGAATTATTAGCTTTTTATTTTGATTCATTTTGAACAGGAATTGTATTACATTTATCTATGCAGAGGCAATTTAAACTATTTTATTAAGTAAGGTAAACCATGTGTTTTATTTTTTTTTTTATTTATTTTTTTTATATCAGAGTTAAAAAGGATGCATCTAAGGAAAGACTTTCAGACTCCGTGCCTATTAAAAGACCTAAAACTAGGACAGCTGTTCTACAAAAACTCAGACGGCAACTCATTGAAGAGGTACATCTATACATTTGGGTGGAAGATGGTCTGCAATTGTTATGCTTGTGTCTTTCTATATGATTATATACTTTATCTTAATATATCAAAACAAAATACTATGTATTCATATATTGGATACACCAATCCAATTATATCAAAATTTTCATTTTATTAACAAATATTAAAAAGAACAAAAATGTATGTATGATATCTCGTTTAATCCAAATGAAATTCGGAACCTGAATTACAAAATCTAGACCTTGTTAAATAGTGTGAACAATGTGCAAATATTGCAGTCCAAATGGCTTCCTATGCAGTCGGATGGGTTTTCCCTATTAGGACTTTAGAGATTAACGCCGCTTAACTTATTTGGTCTGTGGTCAGATCCACCATATTCAGCTCTTTCCGGCTCTTTCTAGTGCTGTCTAAGCTTTATTTTTCTATTCTGTAATCTTGAGCATACATCCTCGAACTGTTTTTCTCCGTAAGCAGCTTGTCTCATTTCCCCACTAAGGGATCCTGCATTCTGCAACACAGTTCAGATGATGAAGATTTGGTTTTGCAAACTGCTGGGAAGGTGATCCACACAGGTGATTTTTTTTTTTATAATTAGATTTTTTTTGTTGTTTCGTTTTGTTTTACTCTAAGCATCATAACCACAACAGCTTTCCAGGTTATGGTACCACTGCCTCCTGGTTCTGCTCATTCAACAAATACCATTTAAATTTGGACAGAATTGACATTGCTAATGTGGAAGCATAACTTCCTCAACTGCAATTTGCCAAATATTTGCCAAATGATAGGCAAGGCCAGTAGGCACCTGTGGAACCCTTGGTTTGTGTAAAAATGCAGAGGGCAGTAGTGGTTACGGTGCTTAGAATGTCTCTTAACATGTGTTTATTTACAAGGTATCCTACAAAGAATACACTCTGCAGGGCTCTTTGTGTTTTTGTGTGTATGTGTCATGTCTCTTACTGCATTATATGAAAACATTGTGCTAGCAGAATTGCTAACAAATGATTTCAAATAAGTCTATTTATTTTTAAAATATGTCAATCAGTTGTTGGCATAAATCTCTATGAATTACTGGACAAGAGTAGTGCAGGCATTTCTCCAGATTGCACAGCGACCATAACACAGGGCCTTGCTCCTTTAGCGAGAACTTCTTACTCCATTCTGATGATGTGCTGTCATTGAAACTAGTGTGTTGGCATCTCGGGGAATGGCTGCCAAGCAGATCTAATGTTGTTGAAAAGAGGGCGGAAGGAAGGAGTAATCAGGAGGTGGTGATTACATTACTGTAACGCCCACAAAGCTGCAGCAAGCTAGATAGAAGATAAGTAACCCATTAATGGCTCCTAAATTAATAGAATAGGTCAATTATCTTTATCATTCAATATATATATTGTTTTAGGAGCTGTTAAGTGTAAAGATGAACAGGTTTGTTGTAAGAGACTTGTTCCAGCTGTTTTAAAAAAATTTTTTTTTTAAATCTATTTATTTTGGTTGTATTTCAGAAGAAAGTGAGTCTGATCATGTGGTACGTGTAGCAGAGACTACAACCAACCAGTCTGAAAAGGCTGTAGGGTATATCTCAGATGACAGCAATACATCAATTCTATCTGATATATGTCCATTGGAAACCTCTTCATGTGAGGCAAAAGATGAATCCAACAAGGCTACTGTTTGTTTGTTGGCTTCTCAACCTCCATTCTATGAAGAAAATGAGTATTACTTAGACGCATCAAAAGAAGGGAATGTAGGGCGGTTTTTGAATGTAAGTATAAAATGAAGCAACTAATCCGAATCCTGTGTTCTCTGATAATTATACTTAGAAAGATAATGGGTTTAATTCTGGGGAAAATGGCCTCCTCCGGTGTGGTCCAATCAGTGCCGTTTGAAGGAATTTGGGGGGCCCCAAGCAAAATAGATATGGAGGCCACCCGCCCCCCCCCCACGCAAGCAAAGCCTACAGGAACCACAGCATAGCCATACAGTTTAAGTTCACCCACACTTTAAATAAATAAAAAAGGTTTACAGTGCAAATACTGCTGTTGCATATACTGTGCATAAATAAATGTTTACAGTGCAAATACTGCTGCTGCATATAATGTGCATAAAATTTGAACATTTTCAACAATTGAACATTTGCAAAAAACAACACTGTACCATAAAATCAAATATACATTAAAAAAGTGCACAATAACTAAATCCAACATACATAAAACACACACACTAACAGACACACACACACTCACATTACATTTTTCATTTCTCACAAACATGTGCAAATTATCTAAAACTGCTCTCCCTCCCTATGTTCTTTTTACTCCCCCCATGTTCTTTTTACTTTCCCTCCCCCCCTCCCTTCCTCCCTATGTTCTTCTCACCTCCCCTTCCCTGTAGCGTGGCCAAACTCCTCTTCCTCCTGGCTGTCAGTCCTGCCGGGAACAGGAAACTGAATCTCCTGTACCGCGCGGTAACCGGCCGGACTGACAGCCAGGAGGAAGAGGAGCTTGGCCACACTACAGGGAAGAGGAGGACGGAGGTGACGAGAGAGGAGTGCTGCAGCCGCCTGAAGCTCTCTATAGAGCGCTCAGGCGGCTGCAGCCTTATAGATAGCACCGGCTCTGCTTGGCACCCTGGGCCAGCTCGGGGCCCCAAGCAATTGCTTGCTTTGCCTGCCCGGTAGCGACGGGCCTGGGTCCAATCCACTGCTCTTCTTCATAGTGGAGCATCGAGGAGCTGATGCACATGCACAGCAGCCATCCATGCATCTCTATAGGATAGCACTGTATTCAATATTTCAATATTTCCTAAGTGCTTTGTCGTCATTTGACAGGGTTTTACGTTGTGCTACAGAAAGTGCCTCTAGTGGCTGTCTGCATGAGTGCCACTAGATCTGGCTTTAATCCTGCAATGTAAACCTTTTTTTTTTAAATAAATTCGTTAGATTTGAAAAGAACAAACTAGCAAGGTCTGGGTGACCATAGTGTCCCTTTAAATGTCCTCTTCTTGCCTCCCCCAGGAGTATAAAAAGATACTTGCATCTCACTGTCCCTCTGTGTCAGCCTGTCTTGAATATATGAAGAATCTGAAATTCCAGAGTCAATCTCTGGTCACTCATTTAGTCATATGGAGCTTTAGCAGCAGAAATGAGGTCACCAGCATGCTTGCATACATACACATTAAAGAACCCAAAAACAAAAGAGAAGTGTTGCGCTCAAATCATACTTAACATCGAATTTGAAGTAAATTCTGGAGAAAAAAAATGCACTAAAGTGCAGATTATCCTTATTAATTATATAATATATTACAAATACATATGTGCGTGAGCCCTATCAACCCTGGCTCTGGGTAAAAAAATGCTCTTTTTTGAGAGGGAATAACTCACACAGTGGTCAGGCAGCTTGTGGCAATCCTTTTTTATTTTTTATTTTTTTGAAACCCCTTTATTATCCATACATTGAATAGTAGTATTAAATGCATATAAATGTATATAAATACTGATAATCTGAATATAAAGAACTGTACATGATTCCTATTAAGAAGATGAAATTGCCTTAAAGGTTTAATGTGTAGCAAACTCCCCCCCCCCCAGCTGCAGAACGGATTTTAACCAATAAGAGACTTGAGAGCTGGAGGAAGGAGAGATGGTCGTTGTCTGATGAAGCACGGAGGAAAAGTGGTGGGCAAAACACGTCACTGAAACTTCATCGGGAAGTAGAGCTAAGACCCAGCACTCTGCGAAACCCAGGAGTAAAATCTAAAAGTCTGCTTGTTGTGCCGCAATCTGCTTGAATGTGGGATCACTGCTCGTGTATGCCCACCAATGCTGGATGTAAGCAGTTTTAATTGTTTTACCTAATAAAAGGTAAAGTTTTACTGTGCCATTGGAGTTCTTTTTGGTTCTGCGATCCCTACAGCTACTATCTTAAAAAGATTTGCCACTATTGGAATCCACAGTCTGGCTGCCTGAACTGTGTGGGAGTTATTCCCTCTCAAAGAATAGTCTCTCACCCAAAGCCAGGGTTGATAGGGCTCTGGTACATGTGAGTGGAACCCCCACACATATGTATTTGTAATATATTAATTAATAAGGATAATCTGCACTATAGTGTATGTTACTTTTTTCAGAATTTACTACAAATTCGATGTTAAGTATGATTTAAGTGCAACACCTTTAGTTGTTTTGAATATTATTTGTCACTTTAGGCGATTGCTGCTTAAGTTTACATATGTACAAACAACTCAAAATGTGGATAGTGCATTAAGATAGATATATATCTATCTCTGAGATATTTATTTATATATATATATATATATATATATATATATATATATATATATATATATATATATATATATATATATATATATATATATATATATATATATAGAGAGAGCTTTTTTTAAGCGTAGTGTGTGTGTGTGTATGTATGTATATATATATATATATATATATATATATATATGTGTGTGTGTATATAATCTTAAAAATGTTTATATCTATCTTAATGCGCTATCCACATTTTGGGCACCATAAGAACCTCATTGAAATTAAGATGTTATGGCACTAGGAGGTCCCCGGCGCTGGCTCACCTTGAGGGGTTAAACCGTTCTCAAATGACTTAACCCAAAAGTCTGTGTACCAGCACCGACTCTCCCTTCAGCGGTCAGCTCATGCTCTCAACCAATCAGTGACTCACTATTCATAAAACTGGCTTGAAAAGAAACATACCTTTTTCAAACCAGTTTATGAATAGGAAGTCACTGGCTGGGAGCGTCATCTGACCATTCTCAGCCTGTCAGTGGTACCACTGCCTGAATCTGCTTGAACCTTCCAGTTTCCCGATTTTGAGAAAACGCAAGGATATTCGGTGCTGGAACATAGACTTTGGGGTTAAGCTTTCTCGAACATTTCAGTGAAGTTGTACTGGTGCCCAGGGTGCTCCTTTAAATGTGTTCACACTTGCATGTATGAGCAGTCTTATATTTACTCACTGCACTGGCAAGTATGGCGTATAAATGTTCTGCTGGTTTTGTATAAAACATTGAAACTCTTCACCCATCTTGAAATTTACCAGGGAATTGTAAGTTAGAGGTCAAAATAATTGTAAAAAGTCTACTTGGCTTCCATCTTGGCTGTTTTGGCATAAAATGTGCAAGGCCCTGGTCAGTTGCTGACAATCCAGTTGATAATCTGATGCTTTCAATTACTACAAAGTTACAAACTTCCTCTCAAGAAATACATTTGGGTTCTGTTTTGTGTGACTTTTTTTTTTTTTATTCTTTTATTTGCAAACTTTGTTTTAGAACAAAGTTCTAAGTAAGTGTAAGTATTTGCCTTTGCAAACTGAATAAATATTTTGAAGGTTCAACTAATGTAATCTGCTCAACCATTTTCTAATGTTCAAGTATTGTCGCTTATATTCCTAATGCAAAAAAGAACTCTTGTTGTAGGCAAGCTTCTGTATGGTCAGCTTACATTTATTTAAACCATCCCCTTTATTTGTCCATTACAGTGATCACTCGAAGTCTGGCAAGCATTTGTCACTTGTTGGCTTATATGGGAGAGAATCGAGCCATTCGCAGTGGGGCAAGACCCTTTAAATAATGTATAGTTTATAATAGCCCCCTGTAGAAATTAAAGTATGCACACTGGGCCATGTTTGTTATTAAGGTTGTATTTGTTTTAATATGGGTGTAAAGTGTTTAACTGTATAGTGCAAGCAGTGGTATGTATAATATTTAAATTGTTTTTTTCTTTTTAATACAGCATAGCTGTTCTCCGAATCTGTTCATACAACATGTATATGTAGAAACACACCACAAACAATTCCCATGGGTGGCCTTCTTCACAAACAGGTTTGGACCATTCACAGATTTTATACTCTTGCTGTTAAAATTTATTTCAGGATAGCTTTCACATGCCCTCGTACACATCAGATGACACACAAACCTGTACACATGAATTTAAAAGGACTACCATGACCACTTCAGTAATTTGAAGTCGCACTGCACATACTGTGTTAAAGCGAATTGTGTGCTGAGGGCTAGTTGCACCCTTTGCACACGTGACATTGGCAGCCCACAACTCCATTCTGTGCGTTAATTGCGTCTGTCAACACACCGACAAGGTGTTAAAATCTTCAGGGGAAGCTAGTTCTCCCCTCCCCAACCTAAATCTCTTGGAGTACCCTGTGCCACCCTTCCTGTGGGTACCCCCTCGTACCTCACTCAATTGCTATTTTTTTCTTTTTTTAAACTAAACACTTCCTCCCTCACGAGCCTGGAGTGTGCATGTGTGCTTTGAGCCAGCACAATGGTCAAATCCCAGGCTTCTGTATGGGAAGCCTGCAATTAGACCGCACCAAATTGGTCTCCTCACTAAGGATTATAGTAACCCTTTAACCATAAATTCCCAGTTTCATTAACCAATCCTGTCTATGATTCACAAAACACATGGATAACTGTACGCTTAAGGTAGGTTTGTCAATATAGTTAAAATAGTACACCTATATTCTAATCCCAGTTGTTCTAGTGAAACCGCTAGATCAATGTAAGCAGAAAGATATTCACAGACGTGTCACTTGTTTTTAGGCCAAAATAGCCAAACCAATATAATATCTGAATTTTCTTCACTTTGAATTAACTCTGAAATCTGGTAATTTTCCCATTCATGAGTAAACCTGTCAGAGTTGCTCACTAAATTGGAAATTGTA